TCTTATGTGCGCCTGGATTAAACCTTAACGAGTAATTCCATATTGCTTTACAGATCTTTTTAGCTTCGAGAAAAAATCATAGTTTGTGCGATAAGATAACATTGTCCGTTAGTGATAACAAATCTCGCAGGTGAAAGGCTATAAGTTGCTTAGAATAGATTTCTCTGGTTCAGCTTTTTTTTACTTCATATGTCTTTTGACGGAGATTTAACGCATGATATTTATGCTCGCTCTGCGATTTTTATTAGAATTTTCATGAGTTCGGAGCCTTTATTTTCATCATTTTTCGAGGTGTTACAGGCTAATAAAACCTTTCAAAAAATGCAGCTTGTGACTCGAGAAACAATAAAAATTTTTCTGTTTAATGATCATATGCAGCATTGGCTCGGCGATTTTGTTTTGATTTTGCATTTACAGCTGAAAGCTTTTGGGCGTGTTCATGAAAGGTGTAAAATGAAGTAACTAACACAACTGGTTATTTGTGACCGATAATTGTTGTGCTTGTTGAAGGTGAAATATTACGAAGTTCAGTAGAACATGTTGTGGTTATATTGTGCGGCGAGCTAACTTTTAATGAAATTGGCTGATCAATCCTTTTTGCCATTGTTATAGCGCAACAACATTCATTCTTGCAGCAGCTGCTCTCAACAAGACATCAAGCATATAGACATTGACTGAAGCCATTCATATGCGAGAATCATTTTATTGCACGTCATAAATTTTGAATTTCGTATCGCGACATTGTTCGTGATCATTGATAATAACGAGCACATTCACTGATCATCCAGCCAGTCTCTTATATGCATGTAATAATATCGATAGAGGTGTTGTGCGATAATGTGGAGTTTTTGGATCTTTAGTAAGCTTCTTTTTTAATTATTTTTATCATTTCTGATTCATTCCATTGGTTCATTCTGTAGACAGTCACAAATTTATTTCCGAGCGTTCGAATCTGAAGTCGTTTTTGATTCACCTATAGTTCTTTTGATTTGACGGCATTTGTTCATCTCGTGTAGAGAGTTTCGACGGAACAAAGAAAACAACGTCACCGCTTTTATGATTTGATCGGGAATCGAGTGTGATGTTGCGAAATGGGGAACTGGTTTGAAACACAATCTGAAAATAAATATTGTTTTCGAAATACTTTGGAATTTTGATTCTTTTTTATAATTGTATGGCTAAATGGATCTACTCTCATGAATATTCACGCACAATGGCATTGTGGTTTTTTTTTGTTTTCATTTATGACGCACATTTTTTTAGTAATTAATTTGAAACCATGCTCCATGTGTCGTGCTCTTAGCACAATACACCAGCACAATTGAGAATGTCTCGTCATAAAGTGCTTGAATGTTATCTTTTCATTTTATTAAGGAATGAAGCATCACACTTTTTATCACTAATCGAAGCGCATATTCTTTTACTTACGACACTTCATTTTTTCGCACATCACAAAAATCACTTTCTAATGAAATTTTCGTTCTGTTCGCATCACTTGATCCTGCAATCAAATTTACAATCATTTTTATTACTCTCTGCTACGACTTCTTCCTTTCGGCACCATTTTTCTATTGCGAATGAATGAATTTCCGGAATGACTTTATTCCAAGGTTATCTGAATTTATCTCTACGTTCTATGCTTTCTTTATGTATTGTTTTAATTTCCTTCTTTGCTGCTCTTCTCTTATCAGTGCTATTGTCATCGGTCAGTTTTTAGAATAAGATTTGACAATAGCAACATCAATAATGGCACTAACAGACGTTTGGTGTGTTTAAGAAGCGTGGTGATTTCAGGTATGCGGAGATGGTTCTCGAAGCTTGCTGCATCAACTTCTGCATCGGCTGACTCATCCAGGTCCGCCTCACCAGCAACATTGACAGCGTCCAGCAACATCGCCATCTCATCGTCGACAGGCAGACTTTCTGGCGAAGGGGGTGTCACTATGGAATCGCCGTTAGACATCCCGCCACCTCCAACACCGCCCGTTTGTTCGACACCAATCGACAATTGGAACGCCGATTTTGCATCGGACCCGTCTTCGTGGGAAGCATCATTCGATAAGCATTGGCATCGTGTTGAGAAGCTCATTGATGATCAAGTGGAAGTTACCTATGAAAAAGTTGGTGTCATTTTCGAAGATTTCACATTAACTTGGTTGATCAAGTGGAAATTACATTGTGTTGTTGTATGTAGAATTCATTTAGTATAGCTTACGAATGGATGTCGACGTCTGAGGATAGCAAATTGAGGGTTTAAAATAAACTTGAGAAGATTTATGTGGTGTTGGTAAGGGATGGTATTGAAGTGTGCTCGAAAATTTTAACGACGGAACTTTCAGACGTTGAGCGTTTTTCGTCATCTGGGCGCGATGAGTCAACTTCTGATGATGGAAATGAATGCGCAACCCGAGCCGGCGATTGGCGTTATTTTGGATCGTTACTTTACCGATCAAATTATGGAACGAATCATCGATTGGGCTATTGAGGCACCACAGTTCTTAACACCGACTTGTCAGGTTGCTTGCCGCTTCCTTTTGTTTACTCATCGATTGTTTCGAAGTGAATTTTCAATTTTGATTGTATTAGAAGGGAATTATTCAGGTGAGTTTAATCCGCATCTACGAAGTGATGGTCAGTGAGAGTCATTCGCAAAACCATTGCTTGCTGGTGCATAAACCGATGTTGTTACCGCTGGTGCGTCTGCTGGAATGGTGTCGTCGAAGTGCGGAGAAACGAAGTTTCACCCCATCGAATACCGATAAACATTTCGTTCTTCTGCTCAATCAAGTGCGCATTTAGTTTCAATTTTATTCGTTATTATTATTATTATCACTATTTTGAGTCGGATTATATTTTCAATTTTTATTGTTATTCTAGTGAACTAGTCGATTATTCAACTGATTGATTGGTTCCAAGTGGCTCGGTGAAGTTCGTAGATCTTTTCTCTCGGTTCTGTTGAATTCAGAATTCTATGAGAAAAGTGTCTTCTTCGATTGATTTGATAGATGTGAAGAATTTGACGTTGTCAAAAAGTATGTGTTATTTTAGATTTGTACAAAAATGGCCGAAGATGCAACGTTGTTACATTTTTTCTTTACGTTCGGTGGTGAAAGCGATGAGCAATTTCTGGTGTTCAGTTTATTGATACCGTATTTGTATGATTCGGGTGATGTGGGTCAGCTGGCTCGTGATGCCCTCTTACTTGTTCTTTCAGTTTCTAGACGTCTCAAGTATGTCGCTGCTTTTGTGGCGGTTAAGGTTGCTTTTTAATCGATTATTTTGATACGAATATCATATGAATTTGAACATTATCGAACTCGAGCAGTTGTTTTGTCTAGTTTTACTAACGTCTTCGAAGTGAAAGAGCCTCATTTCATGTAAGCTTTAAGAATAAGAATATATATCTCGTTTAGCAAAATAATCCCTAAAGAGTGTTTATTGAGTGAACAGCAAGAGTGTTAAGTGGATAGTGTACAAAAGTATTGAACTAATTTTAATAGAGTTTCGATAGGATGTGATATTGTTTTCATTTCAGTCAAATTTTTGTCCAGTCGTAGCCACCGGTCTGTCGGGTTGCTATTCGCAGTTACCACGAAATATTGGATCGTTATTTTATGTTCGTGAGGATTGGCATAAAATCAGTGCTGATGATATAGATTCATATCCGAGCTTGGCTGATTTTCACTCATCTTTACTCTTCTGTAATGCGGTCGTTCAGGTTCGAACTTTCTCGCTTTGATAAGTTTATTATTTTTAGTGTTTAATTTTCGTTTTTGATTACTTTCCTGATCTGATCGGATTCTAAATTTTTCAATCAATTTCAAACGTATGAGAATTTTAACCAAACGATTAACGTGAGCACTTTACAGGTAGCACACGACTATGTTGTTTCACAGATTGTTACGTATATTTATAACGGGTTTTTGCTACCGGTCGTTTTACCATCATTGCTTCAGGTTTGTTGAAGTTTACGGCACCATTGCGACTCTTTGTTCGTTAACGAACATTCTGCTTGTTGCGTGATGTATTTTTGATTTGTATGTGCGACATGTTTAATCTTACGGTGAATGATGTGCACTGCAGAGTGGACAAGAGGAGTTGATCTCATCGACAGCCTATTATCATCTTTGCATTGATACCGTCACCGAACCAGCATTAATTCAAGCATTGATCAAGTTGTTGGTGGTTGAAGAATGTGATAGAAATAAAAAGATTATCGATGTGATTGTTGAGCGAATTGCGCCTGGCAATAGGGTTGGTGCATTTGATATGACTCGTGTTGAAGTGCCTTGTATTTGTATTTGTTTGGATTTTATTGTGAAATTCAATCGGAGAGTTGAAGTTTTTTGTGATTTGCATAGAAATATTGTTTGGTTTTGATTTTCAGTTAAGTCAAGTGAGTCTTTCATTGATTCGAACGTTGATCGATTTGCGTTGTGAAGATGTAATGCTCGATCTCGTTTTCAAGTTCGTTACAGTTCTCATTTTGTGTATTCATTCAAGCCAAACTACTCATTCAGCCAATCGTTTTCCACTGTTGATTCTGTTTTCATTCCTCCGTGTTTTGTTTTTTTTTTCAGTTTTCCATTATTTCTGTCTTACTTCACGTGAGATTTTTATATAGGTCGAAAATTTTTCTAAATGTTAATCTATATCTGAACTCATAGATGAATCGAAAGTTTTTTTTAAACAGACTTGATTGATTGACAGTTAGTAATTTCAGATACCTCTTACCGTGCTCATTTCTTCAACCAAATCAGACACCAACTTCAAAAGTACACAAATACGCTTTAGATTCAGCCAATATATTACTTTCGTATATACCCGAGTGTACACTGAAATCATCGGTGGTGAGTGCTGCTGCGAAATCTTAATTTCATTCATTTTTAACTTTTATGTTATATATTTGATACTGTAAAACTGAATTTTAATTTGGTGTTGAATATATTTGGGATGATAAATTTTGCTAGTAACATGGAAGTTTTAGAAGTGAACATTTTTAAAGTGAGAAATAGAGTGGGGCGCGTGATTGGGTTATTCTTTTCTAATTTCGCCATATTTGTGTTTCAGTTATGTTCACAGTCATCATTGCAAAGTTATTTGTACGAATCTCAAAAACGTGTGCAACTGACCGCAGATTCTTGCACAGACACGTGGGCATGGTCTTACGATGGACGTAATCCATCGCCGGCGATGTTTCGTGGTAGTTCGGATGATGAGAGTCCTTCAACTGATAGTGCGGTTGGTTGTTTTTCGTACGTTGACGTTTCGAATGACTCGATTGGAACTTGCTCACGAAACCCGTAGCTGAGTTCATATATTCGTTGACTTTTGTTCAGAATATTGAACGCCACTAGAAGTAGTGATTACTTGTCTCGTTATTAATCCTCGTGGTGTTTGTATCATTATGGGATTTAATTGCAAGCTGGAGAGTCGCTTTAAAATTATTTGTGATCGTTAATAGATCTAATTCATTTCGCGAACTATCTGAGCATTACTATTTGTAAGATGTTCATCCGGCAGTCATCGACTCGCTCATCGATGACGTCGGCACGTCAAGGTCTGAACAGATACTTTTTGAACGGTACGGCGCATTTGACTGCCGAAAGTCTTTCGCAGCACACACCTCTGCCCGAATTGGGTCAGCAATCGGATGTCTCGAATCCATCCAGACCATCGATCCTGTACAACGAGCCCAGTTCTCCGTCGATTTTTGAAGAAGATGACGATGTGATGATGGATGATTTGAGTATGCCCCCAATAACGTTGGTTGTTTTTCATGGTTGTTTGTTGGGGATTTTTCTTTGCGATTCATTTTCTTTGGTTGGGTTTCATTTTGTTTTGATGGCTCTTTGTACTTTCTTTGGAACAGTCGAATTGATTTATTGTGTGGTATAATTGATTGATTATATGGCATTCAATTGTTGTTATTGTTGACAGTCAGATTTTGAGCAAATAGTGTAACAGGATAGTGCTGAGATTAGAACCGTTAAATAAGGTAAACAGTAAGTATTACTGAGATCGTGCTGATGGGTGCATTTCGCAGAAGAGAGGGACTGTCACAAAATCGATTGTATGGTTTTGCGTATTACAGTTATTTGTTGTTGTCGTTATTTTATTCGTACAGATCAGTTCGTTTTATTTCTGATGTTATTATTGAGGCTTGTTGTCATTTTTGGTCGTGTTGTGTTATTTTTATTGAGATGACTCTGATTTCGTTGAGTGATGCTGAAGTTAGCAAACTTTTCATAGTGAAGATTGTGCGTTCTATTAATGTATTAAATCATTAAGTGCATTGTCAGTTATTTTCAGTAATCGTAAGAAGGGATTTATGTAAAATTGAAGTTTAATTGCGTTGTCTTTAGGCCAACATCAATAATGATGACATCGGATTATTTTCAATTCGCCTATGACGGTGGTATATCGGAATCTGAAGCGGAATCGAGTGGTGTTCGACTGGTACCACAAAAAAATAGCAGCGGTGATGCTGGGAAATCAACAGAGCAAAACACTAAACAATCAGATCAACATAATGATAGTTCGACGAGTGGCGGCTTTGATACAGATCTGGAAATGGCAAAATCGTTTGTATTAAGAGGATGGGGACAGGTTGAGGTTGGAGCGAATTGATTGTGTGATTGTACCGTTTATATTAGTGATAACATATCACTGATGACTGGCATGATAGTATCGTATGGCAGTTTTTTCCTGCTGTTAATTTGATCATTCGAATGAGGATTCTAGGTTGCAAGGGAATATGGTATGCAATTTAGTGGTTGAGAAATTTCGAAAGGGCTTGTAAGATTCGTTTCTTCTTTTGTGAGCCTTGAAACTTGAATTGAATAAGTTGTTGTGTATTGAACCGAAAATAGCAGTTATAAACAGCATTACAAATTAATTAGGAATGTTTGCAACTCATTCAACATTTTGAGGTTGATTTGTTCATTTAAGGATATGGAGACGTTTATGGCTCTTCTTGAGCGCGTTCCATCTTCGAAAACGAAGCATTCACTCGAGGAGAATGCAGCGTTGATTGATTCACGCATTCAGTATTTGGATGAGTTGAGTGCCGAGAGCAACGAAATGAAACAAGAAGCAAATGAAAATGAAACACCCACAACGGTTATTGGCGAGAGTTATCCTTCACCGCAAAACCTACCGGCCGGACATCCTATTATATGTCCAGAAAATCAAGGTATTTTTAAGCAATCCTGTTTGCTATTCGTTACTTGCTGATTCTGGTTTTGATTTAATCAATTTTTATCGAGTATCTAGAAAGAATCAGTTAATTGTAGTAGTGCGGACAAATTTTGTGTAAAATCATTTGTTACTTATTAAATTATTTTGTTCCGTTATTGTTCATTATGAGGAAAAGCGGACTTGTCGCTCAACAAAATTAATTCATAATTGAAATGAAAAGTTAGTGCCAGTAAAGTGCGATGTTTCAAAGCCATTGTACATTATTTTTACAGGAGTTGGACCATTTTTGGAGTCACTGTTGAGGGCATTGGAGAATATGATAGACAATACGTTGTTTGTAAATATACACTTGACATTTGTGATATCATCATTGGCCACTTATACACAACCGCTGATGGCGAACTATTTCTTCGCTCCAAATCTGAATCTAAGACCGGGTGTCAAAAGTCTTATGAAGGTTCTTTTCATTTGTACTTATCCTCCACAACTTATCTTCCTATCTATTTTGATTTAATTTGAAAGTTTGGGTATTTCAGATCCTCTCCATCCTGAAAGCGAAAATTGATGCGTATGCGGCTTCAGTGGAAGGATTTGACGTTCTGTTGGAAAGGGGAATAAAGTTTCTGAAATTAAGGGCTGATCGTTATGAAAAGGTTAGTGCGCATTTGTTGACAGTTATTCATCGTTTCTAGTTTTCATTATTGTTCTGGAGATAGTCTCACGAAATTGGATTCGGTATGCTTTCGAAGAGGATCGTTATGTGTTTGTTGTGCCTTACAA